GAGTTTGAGTCATCACAAGGCATCGTAAGTACTGGCGTTGTCTTACTTATCCTAGAAATCGGTTCACATGTTAACCATAATTAACAAGTGCTACTCTAGAACATATGTAGGCCCTCATTCAACAAGGGCAGGTAAACATAAATTCATAGCATTAAAATCCTAGATATGCTCACTATGTATGCATCCATAGAAACACATAAAGAATTTATCAATGACATAAGTAGTGAAACAATTTTCATCTTTTCATAAAAGTCATTCAAACAAAATATCACAACAAACTTACAATCATATTCGGGACTTCAAAACAGCCCCTAAATACTAAAAATTAGTTACACATTATTCTCAAATTAAACCAAAAGTAAAACATGGGTTTGAGAAGATAAAACCAAGAAATATAGAGTGAAGCCTCTGCTCTCTGCCGTGTTTTTTTTGCACAGTTTTCTGTGTTTCTCTGTGCTCTGCTGCCAGCCGTCAGTCTCTCTTTGCGCACCCTGCGCCTGCTGTCCTCTCTTCTCTGCGTCTGCTGCGTGTCTGCTTGTTTCTGCTTCTGTGTCGTGTGCTTCTTGCGCACTGGCTCTTTCCTCCTTTCCTTTTCGCCTCGCCCCTCTGTCCCCGTGTCTATATCCTTTTCTGCTCCTGTCCTCCCTCTTTTATTTTCTGTTACTCTTTCCTCTCTCTCTTCTTTCCCCCCGCGTCAGTCCTCCACTTCTTTTTTTTATTTCCTTTCTTTATTCTTCCCTTTAGTCTTTCTTTATTCTTTTCTGTTTTTCATCTCGTCAGTCTCCCACTATTTTATTTTCTTTTCTTATTTTATTTCTTTTTTTTATTATTTTCTTTTCTTTCTTTCTTTTTCTCCACCAGTCCGTGTCTCTCCCTGCTCTCATTCTTTTATTCTGTCAGTGTCTCCCCCACTCACTTTGTTTTCTGCTCAGTGTTTCCTTTCCGTCCCATTTATTTTCTGTTGCTCTTATTTTCTTGAAATTGATCCTAAAACAAATTTAACTGCACATTAACACAAGGTAAGGTAAAATGCCACAATTTTAACACAAAAACATCACAAAGACTTTAGAAATGGATGGTATAAATGCATGAAATATATGATTGATCAAATACCCCCAAACTTACATTTTTGCTAGTCCTCTAGCAAAACAAAACACAAAACAAAACCACTCAACTAAGACTAGATTCAACAACTTAGTAGACAACTTCTCAATTTTGATTTCAGAGATAAGTGCTAATCATGAAACAAACAACCAAGAAGTAAGTAACAAGAGCTCAAAACATCATCCAATAGTTAACCAAATTTCCTTCAAACAAAACGTTGAAAAGCCATGTGTGAGCTAGCCATGTCAATGCAATTCCAAGCTCCTTTAAATCATCATATGCAAACACGTGAGTTTCTCACACGACATACGCTCATTCACTCATAAGTTTTGGTTAATGTGTTTCACTCAAGTGATCTCATTGTACATGCCGCCATATGCTTGCTTGTCCACCTAACTCGCTTATCAATATTTAAGTAATACCTTGGATCAATAGGACTTTATTACGGTTGTAATGGGGCTAAAGGTGGTAGGCTAATGAAAGAAAGGATATGGAAATCAAAAATTTTGAGAAAGTACACTTTGGTAGTTTTCCAACACCTCAATATCACACCACCTCAAATTGAAAGCAAAATAATAAACTTCGAACACCTGTTACTCCCCAAATTCAACTTCAAAAGGAAATTTATACTATGCAGACACAATTTCAACAAATCAACACTCTCCAATTTTCTTATATTTCGTTTTTTTTTTTTTTTTTAATTGAAAGAATTTTCTACAAAAGCTACATCACCCATCAAATTCACATTTCATTGTAATACACATGCTCCATCCATCTTTCTACATAAATGAAACCCCCAAAAGCACAACCCATGTAATACTTTCTCAAAACAATAAGGAATCGATTTTTGTGTATGGGTTCAACTCCAATATTGAAGCAAGGTAAAGAGATGTGGCTAACAAAGAAATGGCTTAGTTAAAGGCTCAATGGGCTACTACAGATAAACATAGCATATAAGGTAGGCATGAAAGGCTCAAACGATCCAAAGATGGCCTATATCACTTCCAAGTTATTACATGAATTGATTAATGAATCGAGTAGTATAAAGCAAGTTCTAGAGATACATGTACAGTGAGATCACACGCACAAGAAGGAATGAGATTGATGCATAATGGTTCAATCATGTATAGGCTCAAAAACTCACAAGGTTTACATAATCTCACATGATTCACATATGAAACGCTAAATCATGCTCAAGTTTCACATTGACAAGACTAGGCACATTTATTTTTCAACTTGACTTCTGGAAATCACAGTTAACACAAAGACAACGAAAAGAACTTAGACTTCTTGAAAGTAAGAAGGAAATTAAGATCAAATCTCATCATTGAATTGAGAAGTAGCTACAAACAACAATAAAAATGCAAAAAAAATAAAAATTTATTTATTTTTTAATAGAGAAATAAACTAACGAAATATATTTCCACCCCCAAACTTAATTATAGCATTGTCCCCAATGATAATGAAAGGAATTTTTGAACAATAAGACATAAAAATGGAAGGAAAGAAATATAAA